TCAGTCCCATTTATCTGTTTTTGATCTTTTTTTGGGGGGGTGGGGTGGGGTCTGGTTGTGGGGCCTGAACTCTGGGCCTGGGTGCTGTCCTCAGCTCTTCAGCTCAAAGCTAGTAGTGCTCTACCACTTGAGCCACAGCACCACTTCCGGCTTTTTTCTTTTTTGCTTATGTGGTGCTGAGGAATCGAACCCAGGGCCTCATGCATGCAAGGCAAGCGCTCTACCACTGAGCCACCTTCCCAGCCGGTTTTTTATCTTTTTTGCTGGGCAATTGGAAATACTATTTAGAAAATACCTGTATCATATTCTTCAGCATAGTGGGGAGAATAAATAGACATCCTCCTCTGTTTAGTGTGATATTGTCTGTAAGTTTTTAATGTCTCTAGTGTTTGTTCAGGGCTTTTATCATAAAAAAGATTCGGAGTTTTGACGAAGGTTTTTTTTTTTTCCTACATGTGATTTTTTTTTTTTTTTACTTGATTCTGTTTACATGCCGTTTACTGATTTACATATGGTGAGCCATATGGAATGAAACCAGCTTATTTGTGGTATATGATTTTGTTAATGTTTTACAGGATTTGGTTTACAAATATTTTATTGAGAATTTTTATTTGCATGTTTATTCACCAAAGAGATTGGCTATAATTCTGTCCTTTGTGTTATTAAAACCTTTAGTTCGGAAATGAGTGTTATTGGCTACCTAGAATGCAATTGGTGACATTACTTCCCCTACTATTATGGAAACGTTTGAGTAGTATTGGTGTCACGTCTTTGGTCTCATAGAATTTGGTTATCAATCTATCCAATTCTAGTCTTTCAGGAGACTGTTATTCTTCAGTCTCAATGCTTGTTATAAACCTAGTTATATGGTTTATTTCCTCTTGATTCAGTTTTGGTAGGTCAAAAGAATCTAGAAATTTATCCATTCTAGGGGCTGGGAACATGGCGCAGTGGTAGAGCGCTTGCCTTGCATGCCTGAAGCCCTGGGTTCGATTCCTCAGCACTACATAAGCAAAAAGAAAAAAGCCGGAAATGGCGCTAGCCTTGAGCTGAAGAGCTGAGGGACAGCGCCCAGGCCCAGAGTTCAGGCCCCATGACCGGACCCAAAAAAAAAAATTTATCCATTCTAGTTATGCTTATATTATTAATTCTCTCTTGCTACTTTACCCATCTAGTGGGATTTCTTTTCTGTGCTTTATCTGTTTTATCTTCCTTTTTGTATGTAGTATTGCTTTAAGCATCTTCTATAGTGCTGGCTTTGTGGTCACAGATTCCTTTAGGTTTTTATTTATCCTGAAAGTTTATTTTTTTCCACAATTATGAAAGGTAGCTTCACTGGGTATTAATAACTAGGGTAACAATTATTTTCTTTCAGGACTTGGATCATTTCCTATATGCCCTTACCGCATTTAGAGGTTAAGAAATCTGCATTTCTAGTGGGCTTGCTGTTACATATAACTTGTCTCATTTGCAGCTCCTTTAATAATCTTCGTTGTGTGTGCTTAGAGTTTTAATACATTCAGAGATGTTTCTTCTCTGATCTTGCTATTCTGTAAGCCTCCACTGCCTGGATGACCTTCCCTTTCTCAAGTTTGAAGAAGTTTCCTGCTATTTTATTAAACTAAGGTTATCTATGCCTATACTTGTATCTCTTTAGTTTTTCTTATGGAGGTGGGGTTGTGGTGGTGGTATTTTTTATTGTGTTTATGTCATTTCCAGGGCTTGAACTCAGGCATTTGAGCTTTTGGCTTTTTGCCCACAACTAGATTTTTCTACCATTGGAGTCATGCCTCCAGTCTGGCACTTTGATGGTTAATTTAAGAAGTTTTTCAGACTCTTTTGCCTAGGCTAGCTTCAAAACTTGATCCTCAAGGTTAGGCCTCCTGAGTAGCTAGGATTACAACAGGCCTGAGCCCCTAGTAATTAGGTTCTTTTTTTTCTTTTTTGGGGGGGAGGGGGATCTGGTCGTGGGGCCTGAACTCTGGGCCTGGGTACTGTCCCTCAGCTCTTCACCTCAAGGCTAGCGCTCTGCCACTTGAGCCACTTCCGGCTTTTTTGCTTATGTGGTGCTGAGGAATCAAACCCAGGGCCGCAGGCATGCAAGGCAAGAGCTTTACCACTGAGCCACCTTCCCAGACCCAGCTTTTTTCTTATCTCGACCCATGATCCAGTGTTTGGTCTTTTGGTGTCCCAAAGGTCTTATAAATTCCATTCCTGTTTTTTGCTTTCTCATTCCTATATCTAATTCTTCTGCTTTATCTTTGATTCCTTATACCCTATATTCAATTTGTTCTGTTAGCTAGGCTATAGATTGAATTTTTTATTGGAGCTATTGAACGCTTTCAATATTTTGATCTAATTTTGTCAAGACTTTTGTATCTTTATTGAACTCCTTTCATATCCTGCATTTTCTTTCATTTGGCTATTTAAATTCAGAGTTCACTTGTTGGTGTGTATTATTTGAATTCATTCAGTTTTACATCTTCATCTCATTGATCATTGCCATTTTTCCACATCACTATCACCTTTGTTTTTAGGTTGCGGGGCTTGAACTCCAGGCATGGGCACTATCCCTGAGCTCTTTTGCTCAAGGCTAGTGCTCTACCACTTGTTTTGTTTTTTTTGTTTTTGTCCGTGTGGGGAATTCTGGGCCTGAGCGTCGTCCCTAGCTCTTCAGCTCAAGGCTAGCACCTACCACTTGAGCCACAGTGCCACTTCTGGCTTTCTTCTTCTTATGTGGTGCTGAGGATTCGAACCCAGGGCCTCATGCATGTGAGGCAAGCACTCTATCACTGAGCCACCTTCCCCAGCCCTGCTCTACCACTTTGATCCACAGCTCCACTTGTATTTTTTGAGTGGTTAATGAGAGATAAGAATTTCACAGGGATTTTTCTGCTCATGCTGACTTCAAACCATGCTCCTCAGATCTCATCCTCCAGATTAGCTAGGATTACAGGTGTGAACCACTGGCGCTTGACTACTGAAAATTTTTTCCAGGGGGTGGGGGGGGTTGGTCATGGGACTTGAACTCTGGGCCTGGGTGCTGTCCCTCAGCACTTCAGCTCAAGGCGAGCCTCTACCACTTGAGCCACGGAGCCACTTCTGGTTTTCTGGTGCTTTACTGGAGATGAATCTCATGGACTTTTCCTGCCCAGGCTGGCTTTGAATCACGATCCTCAGATCTCAGGCTCCTGAGTAGCTATGATTAGTCATGAGCCACTAGGGCCAAGCCTGAAATATTTTTACTGTGAAGTTTTACTTTTGAAGGAGACATATTGTCATTTTTATTCTTAAGTGTAGTGATTTTGTACTGGGATTTACACACTTGAGGCCTAGTTTTTAGGTATAAGTTTAATCTCCTATGATTAAACTGATGTTTTCTCAAAGATTATGTATATAGCTGGGTTGTAGTATATAATGTTAACAGATTAGGCAGCAGTCAACACAAGGACACAGGCCCTGGTGACTGAGTTCTTAACAGGCCTCGGGCTCAAAGTTTTGTTGTTGCCTTAGCCTCTGATTGATACTGGTGTCACTCCTGGTCAGAAAGTGTGTGTTCTAGACAGATCCAACACCCAAGCCTTCAACCTTCCAACTGCCTCTGGTGGGCTGTTGGGCTATAGCTGAAGTCTTCCTGAGGTAACAACGCAATTGTCACATCCATGCCTCTGCTCAAGCTCAACAGGGAGATGAAAGGTTCTGTCTCTATTGACTATCTCAAACAGCAGCCTCTGGCATCAGAGCTACCAGTGTAGTACCCCACTGTTTAAACTTGTCTGCAGGGTCCTGCTGGACATTCTACCTCTCCTCAATCAACTCTGACCAACTCAAACCCAAATTCTACAGCAAAGTGTCCTGAAGCTCTTAAAGTCATGACTGTTCCTTATTTTCAGGCCTCCACAGCATCTCTGTTTCCAACAATAAACATTCTCTTAAAATGGTATTTAAGCCGGGCACAGGTGGCTCATGCCTGTAATCCTAGCTACACAAGAAGCTGAGATCTGAGGATCAAGGTTCAAAGCCAGCCTGGGCAGGAAAGTCCATGAGACTCTTATCTCCAGTAAAACCACTAGAAAACCAGCAGTGGCGCTGTGACTCAAGTGGTAGAGCACTCGCCTTGAGCTGAAGAGCGCAGGGACAGGGCCCAAGCCAAGTTCAAGCCCAAGACTGACACCGCCCCCCCTCCAAAAAAAAATGGTATTTAAGTATTGCCCTCCAAGATAAGAGGAGCAATGAAGCAACAATGTTTTCTACAAGGATGAGCTTCCATATTGGATTATCACTAACTCACAAATCTCTGTACCGGGATTAAGGCTTGTGGGATGTGTGGCTTTTCCCACAGCTAGAATTGACTATTTGCTCTATAATGGACTCTTCACTTCCTCTCCCCCTTCCTGGGAATGTGGAGACTGCTTGGAACTCCTCACTGCTCTTCTTCCATTGGCTTGGTTATCTCTGGTTTCCTCTTCCTTCCATCTCTTTCATTGTTATTGGTTCTCTTCTCATTCAGAATCTAATCTTTCTGTGTTTCCAAAACCTTCATGGAGTAGACTGGTAAATTATTCTAACCTGCCATCTTGCCTCCAAGAGGGGGTAGGGGCTGACACAGGTTTTTAACTGAGGTTTAATGGGGCCAACAGCTTCATATTAAAACTTTTAGGCTGCAAGCAAGTAGTCTTTTCTTACTTGGCCTATTTAATACAATGGTTTTCTAACTTTGGAACAATTATTGGCAACTTCACTGCTTTAAATGGCCCAAGCAGCGAAGTGCTGCGCTCCCTGTAAACATAGAGGCTATGGTAAGCCTTATGGACAAAGTACTAACTCATCTAACAAGATAAGCTTCAGGTCAAATGCAGTAAGACTGCAACTTGAACTCTTTTGCTAAGTGCTAGAGTAGAATAATTACTGTTGAACAGATTATTTCCCTGTAAATCTGCTTTGAAAGTGCTACTGTAAAAGGAACATGATTTCTTCAAGTAAAAATCAGGGGACAAAAGTTGATTTAAAAAAGAACTTTAATGAAAGGCACTGTTGTCCAAAGTGCTACACCTTGCTTGCTTTCCTATGTGTCAAAGGCCTCCATCCCACCAGACAGCATTTCTGGGGTAATATTACTTCCCAAAGCCCTGACTCAATTTTTTCCTTAAAACAAAAAATCAGCCATCTCTGACTAATAACCAAGAATCATCTCAAGGGAAAAAAGAAAAAAAGAGAACAATGCCTACTACTATAAACTAGAAAAAGGAGGTTCCTAAAAGTTCCCATGTTTGTTAAAGGCCCGAGGAACTCACATGTTCTGTTGTCATGGTTGCAGACTATCTTTAATGTTACGTGAAAAGCTCCTCTCAACTAATCTCACCATAGGAACAACAATCAAATTCTTAAGTGTCTTCACTTATTGAATACTTTTAACATTGGAACCTTAGGATTTCTGGTTTTCTCAGAAGCTTGTGGCTTGTCTTTTAAGCAACAGCAGGCACTTGGCTCTTCAGTGCTTAAAAAAAGTTTTAAACAGCTTACCACTTTCTTACAGTAACTTTGGGGTTAAATTTTCCTGCTATGGATGGTTGTTGGCAAGACAATTAAAAACCATTTTTCACAAATGTTTACCAAAAATTCATCTTTAGGGAGAAGTCATCCAGAAAAAGCAAAACTCTGCTTTAAGTAAATAAAGTGTTGTTTATGTGCATTAAACCAAACAATCCATTTGGTTTTAAAAACTAATCACAATACAGTTGAGCAATGAATGGGTGGTTCTGGTGAGGTATTATTTTGACATTTTAGTTTCTGAAGGCGTTTCCCCAGTATCCAGGGTCTTCAACAACCGGAAAAGACCTGCAGCTTCTCGTATCCTACTGAATTCAATACAGAAGGCTTGCACTTCTATAAACAAGTCCTGTACATTAATAATTTTGTTACGGATCAAGGACTGGAGAAAGACACACACAAGACGCACCAAACGATTCTGGGAGAGAAAAAAACAAATTTAGCATGCCTGTTTTACTAATAAGTATTAATAAAATTTATCAAAATTCCTGTTACTCACCTGCATATATTTATCCTTAATTTGTTCACAAGTAGAGATGCAATTTGATATATAAAGGTGAATGAATTCAGGAGGTAGATCAACAGCTGTAGTTAGCCTATTTTATAAAATTATAATTATATATATTTTTAATTGTCATCTAGTGAAAACTTATGATCTAATTCCCTAGTTTTTCATCATCTTTGACAAACCTGAGCCACAGCCACTTATCCTAACTGCTTTTAAGTGTACACTTACCATTGCACACTACAATTATTCAGCATTATGTCCCAGAGTGTTTGTGGTTGAATCACAAATCTTACAAGCTTTAATCCTCAGCAGTTATTGTGACCCACTTTATACTTGGGAAAGCCTTATTACACAAAGTGCTAGGAAGAGCAAGTTCAGACTAGATAGGAATTCAGCATAACATATAGCCAGCCAAAGGCTAGAATAAGGGATTTAGAAGAAAAAAAGTTCTTAAAAGGGGGAGTTAAACTGACGCCTAAGTAGATAGGCCTTCCTAAAAACAGTGTAAGTAGCAAAAAAAAACTTTGAACCAGCACAAGAATTCTGAAGGGAAGACCTGGCTGCAGTGTAGTAAGAAACATGTCACAGAGACCCAAAGCCCAGGTATAGATTCTTGAAGGTCGAGACCAATCAGTAAAAGCAAAGTGCTCAGCTCAGCCTCTGGAACCAGTCAGGTGAGACAAGCTTTGTCACTGAAAGCCTTACTAAGCTGGTCACCGATGTCTTGCACTTGTAATCCTAGCTACTCAGGAGGCTGAGATCTAAGAATTGAGCTTCAACGCTAGCCAAGCAGGAAAGTCCGTCAGACTCTTATCTCCAACTAGTCACTTGCAAACCAGAAGTGGCACTGTGGCTCAAGCAGTAGAGCACTTGCATTGAGCTTAAGAGCGCAGGGACAGCGCCCAAGCCCAAAGTTCAAACCCCACAACCAACCAAAAAAAATTGTGTGAAGGGGAAAAAAAAAATCCTGTGAAGGAGAAACAGTGAATCCTGCTAGAAAAGACTGCAAAGAGACACTTCCCCTGGTCACAAGGGGTGGCCAGCCACGAGGGGGGGGGGGGGGGCAATAAACTGTTCTGTGAATAGTAAAAAAAAAAAAAAAAAGACTGCAAAGAGAGGCAGAAATCACAATGTTATACAGGACACAAGCTGAAAATCAATTTGGAAGCCTTCTGTTTCCTTAGAGAATTTCACATACTGAGGGCTGCCAGGCAAGCTTTTGGCCATCAGGTGATTAACCTGACACTCGGTTCAATTTCAACTAAGCTTTTTTTAATCTTCAACTTAAAAAACAAATGTTACTTGTCACTCAAAGTGGATTTCCTTGCACATTAGATCCATTTAATTTGTCACACAAACTAGGCCAATATGTGAAAAGCAGCTCAGAATGAGAAGCCTGAATGAAGACTACTTTAGGCAAGTGTGGGCCTAAGGCACCCTCTATATAGATAATAAAATAGCCCCCAAGCTAACCTCTCAAGCCAATTTAACTTGCAATTTAAGAGGAAAAGGGTAATATAAAATATGAAAAGAGAAGAACACATCAAGCAGACCATGCATGGGCTGGGAAGGTGGCTCAGTGGTAGAGCGCTTGCCTTGCATGCCTGAGGCCCTGGGTTCGATTCCTCAGCACCACATAAGCAAAAAGAAAAAAGCCGGAAGTGGTGCTGTGGCTCAAGTGGTAGAGTGCTAGCCTTGAGCTGAAAAGCTGAGGGACAGTGCCCAGGCCCAGAGTTCAGGCCCCACAACCGACCCCAAAAAAAAAAGAAGACCATGCATTGTTTCCCTAATGGTCAGCAATGGCAGGGTAAGACTCCTGGCAGTCAAGGAGGAGATGGGAGAGGAGTATAGGGACTCTGTGACTGCATGCCTAGAAGCTTCTACACTTTCCAAGCCACAGCTGTTAGGTAAAGGAGCTAGAGTTTTATATAGGGAAGTAAATTTCATCCACTTTCATTTGTGCTCCAACTAACTGTAAAAACTGTACTGCAGGTTTTTACCAGTGGATGCTAAATTCACATATAGTGAACACTTAAGACTCAGAGGCTAACCATATCAGAAGAAAAATATGCTACATCTTTTTCCCCTAGCTAATTTAATCAAGATCTGTATATCCTTACATATTAGAGGAACATGAGAACTTACCGGTTTACAACTTCCATTGAATGTAAAGACATATCCATGTTGACCAGGACAGAGAAATACTCAGTGATCTGGCTTGACTGCATTAATTTCAGCAACATTTCTATAGCAACTAGAGGATTGTTTTCCACTAGGTCTGGAAGTTTGGCTGGAGTGAGACCAATGTGATAAACAAGCTTGGGGTCTTTTTCCAACTCACCAAGAAGCTAAAGAAAGCAAAAATTTTAAAGAGGTTCTTGAGTTTCATTGGAAAATTTTTTCTTATTGTCCAAATGTATTTTATACAAAGCTATAAAAATTACCATCACTGAGTCAATTTCTTGAATTTCTTCCCTTAAAGCTATGAGGATATCAAAATAAAAAAATTGAAAACAATTTGTGAATCAACTATTCTTCCTCCTAGATGAGAAACTTGATTAGATACAGTATATCTGTCTAACAGCATCTTTAAGTCTTTTGTAATTTTTTTTTTCTGCTGTTACATCCAAAAATAATTACCAGCTAGTTCTCCCCAAAAGCACAAACCAAGCTGGATGATGTGATGGTACATACCTATAATCCAAACATTCTCAAGGTACCTAGGCTACATAGTAAGTTTTAGAACAGCCTGAGCTATATATAGTGATACCTTGTCTTAAATAAAAAGGTACAAAAACACAGAGAATTAGAAACAGTAGGGGAAAAAAAAAAACAACAACTGCTGAGCCCTGTCTGATGCAGGTAGAGAACAGCAGAAAAGTAAGTGCTGTGAGCCTCTGCTATTCTCAATTCAAAATACACTGCATTTGGCAATTCCAGTTAGTCAAGTGCTATTTGGCTTCAAAAACATTTTTCTTGGCCAAATAGCACTTTTTTTTTTCCTTCCTTTTTTTTTTTTTTTTTTTGCAGGTCATGGGGCTTGACCTCTGCTTGAGCACTCTACTATAGCTTTTTGCTGACAGCTAACCTTTATCACTTTAAGCCATAGTTCCACTTCTACTTTTCTGGTGGTTAACTGGAGATATGAGTCTCATAGACTTTCCTGCCTAAGCTGGCTTTGAACCATGATCCTCAGATTTCAGCCTCCTGAGTAGCTAGGATTACAGGCTTGAGACACCAACAGCTAGCTCACACTTTTAAACTTTCTATATTCTTTGTATTTTCCAGACTGCACTGCATTTCAGGATGCTCTAATAAGCAACATGAACTACAAACAGCTGTAGGCTGACTTGACTTAGATGATAAACTGGTTGGACAATCTTCCTTACAGTTCTAACTTGAGACTGCAAACTAAGTAAAATTCACCAACCAGAAACTGCCATAAATGCCGCTACCTTGTCCACCAATGGTAGCTACCTGGTCTAACCCACAGGTAGCCAGAATTTTTTTTTTCTTTTCCGTCATGAGGCTTGAACTGGGGGCCTGGGCCCTGTCCCTAAGCTCTTTTGCTCAAGGCAATGTTCTACCACTTTGATGAGCCACAACACCACTTCTGGTATTCTGGTGGCTAATTGGTGATAGCTTCATGGACTTTTCTTGTCTAGGCTGGCTTTGAACTGTGATCCTGAGATCTCAGCCTTCTGAGTAGGTACAGGTGTGAGCCTAGCCAGAAATACTCCCTCCCACTCCCATAGTAGGGCCTTGAACTATAGGCCTGGCTCTGTCCCTGAGCTCTTTGGCTCAAGGCAAGCGCTCTACCACTTGAGCTACTGCGCCAGTTTTCTGATGGTTAATTGGAGATAAGAGTCTCATGGACATTCCTGCCCAGGCTGGCTTTGAACCTTGATCCTCAGATCTCAGCCTCCTGAGGAGCTAGGATTACAAGCATGAGCCACTGGTGCCCAGCCCCTGAAATACTTTTAATGTTAAGTTCACCTCCAACCTGGACTTCCTTTTTCTCCTCTACAAAACTGTTAGTTGGGCACTGGTGGGTCATACCTTGAGCAGAAAGACCTCAGAGATACTGCCCAAGCCAAGTTCAAGCCCCACAGCTGACAAAAATAAAAATTCTACCTACTCTCAGAAGAGTTACTGTCCAGCTAAAATGCAACAATGTCTACAAAGTACCTAGAGAGGGAACACAATGACCAAAAATAAGACCCTTCCTATCTCACGTCTCCAGAAATAAAACTATCACAAACAAGTCAGGAAATTTTTAGTGGTCAGACTTCTTCCCCTATCAGAACCAAATTAACAGAAGTTGAAAGATAACAAAGCTTTTGGATACCAAAAAATCAGGATGATCCCCAAAAGGGAGCTTGTAAGCTGTCACACAGAAGGGGGAGCTCCTTGGCTACAAGGGTTATCATAGCAACCAAGCAGTTCTTCAAGGATACTATGACCTGTATCACAATCAACAATTCTTATCTGTTTTTGCAGGGGGAAAGGGATTTAATCTCAGAAACATTTTAATTTTGATATTTCTTCAAAAATTATTTATATGATTAAGAAGCAAAAAAAAAAAAAAATTCAGAATGAAAGCCCTGTCAGGCAAAATGAAGTCCTGAAAACTGTTTTGAGTAGACCTCACTGACCCATCTTACCCACCCAGACCCACTGTCTAAGGGTTAGGGGTTACTAGATGACATGACCAAATGTATTTGCCTACCCTAGGGAAGCATAAAAGCTTCAGATAGAACCACCATTTTGAGTTTGAATTCTTACTTCCTATGTGGGAAGCATGAAGTATTTCTCTTCTTAATTTCTCCTTTTTAACTTTATCATACTAAAATAATTCTTTGCCAAATTAAAAGAACTCAGAATTCCTAGTTTTTTTTAAAGAAAATTAAATTCATGATGGATTGAAGGTTAAAAAAAAATGTTTTTAATGCATACATACCTGTGTCTGCTGGGGAGATGATAAAGGGCTTTTAAAAGCTTTGGCCATGATTCTCTTGATCTCCACACCAGTGCTATTCTTAACACACATGGATTTATCCCACTGAATCACATGGTCAGGCTCTGTGGGATTTAGCCAAGCCAGTTCATCCTCACAAATGTGGAGAGGGGGTGGTGGACGGATAAACTCTGGCCGGAAATGGCCTAAATGGGAATAGAGATAAATGACTGCTTCTATCATAGCTAACATCTGTACTTACCTGCATTTCACTTAATACCTCCTTTAGTGAGGATGTTATAAAATCCATATTTGAAAATCAGAAGGAAGAATGATACAGAAAGTCAAGGTTTCACTCAGAATATAAACAAGAACGTATACATACATGGGCAAAAACTAATGAAACAGTATATGACAAAACCTGTTAGTTTTTTAGAGAAGAGAAGAAAAACATGGCCATGACCTGCCAACTTTTAATCCAAGCAGACCCTCATGAGCAAAAAAGACATTCTATTCTTAGTCACCACTAAGATTCTGTCTTAGAGACCACCATGAATGTTAGTTTTTTTAGAGAAGAGAAGAAAAACATGGCCATGAGTCATCTGCCAACTTTTAATCCAAGCAGACCCTCATGAGCAATAGGAAATTCTATTCTTAGTCACCACTAAGATTCTGTCTTAGAGACCACCATGATTTGTGCTAGGTTTACTTTTCCATCTTCTAATTTTAAAGTAACAAATTATGTGGAAATGAAATGACAGAAGAGGGACTGGAAAGGCGGCTCAGTGGTAGAGTGTTTGCCTTGCAAGCATGAGGCCCTGGGTTTGATTCCTCAGCACCACATAAGCAGAAAAAAGCCAGAAGTAGGGCTGAGGGCTCAAGTGGTAGAGTGCTAGCCTTCAGCTGAAGAGCTGAGGGACAGCGCCCAGGCCCAGAGTTCAGGCCCCACGACTGACAAAAAAAAAAAAAAGAAAGAAATGACAGAAGAAAAATATGTACTTCTTTCTTGTCTGTATTAGAGTTTCAACTCAGGTCCCCACATTTGCTCTGCCTGCTTGCTCTACTTCTTGAGTCACACCTCCAGCCTGCCCTTTTCTGGTTATTTTGGAGATGGAATTTTGTAAACTTTTCTGTCCAGGGTGGCCTCAAACCATGATCTTTGGGATCCAGTCTCCTGAATAGCCAGGATTTCAGGTGTGAGCCAACAGCACCTGGTTGACATGTACTTTTACTTTTCCATATGCATTTGGAGGCTTTCATAAATCCCCAAATTCACAAATACCAGATCCACTCTCAGAAAGCAAAAATATGACAAGAAAGTAAAGTGAATCAACTATTTTGTTTTGTTTTGTTTTTGGGTCCGTTCGTGGGGCCTGAACTCTGAGCTTGGGCGCTGTCCCTCAGCTCTTCAGCTCAAGGCTAGCGCTCTACCACTTGAGCCACAAGGCCACTTCCAGCTTTTTTTTTTCTTTTTGCTTATGTGGTGCTGAGGAATTGAACCCAGGGCCTCATGCATGCAAGGCAAGCGCTCTACCACTAAGCCACCTTCCCAACCCTGAATCAACTATTTCATAAAAAGGTTTTGGGTTTTTTTTTTCCTATGGGTTTATGTGTATGTGTGTTACTGAGGAATTGAACCAGAGCCTCATATATGCATGCAAGCACTCTATCATTGGGCTACATCCCCAGCCCAATGCTGATCATAAATTATAAACTTAGATAAACTCACTCTGGCAAGGACTTCTGTTGCACCATTGTTACACTTCAGTTTGGTTTTCAAAAAGGGCATAAAATGGTTTATTCCTATCAGAACTCATCCCTGCTAAGTTTGAGATGACACTCTAGTATATTGAAAATGTCATTTCCTAGGTAAGAACCACCACTAACATCTCCATGTCCTTCACTGGCATCCCAGAATGAGCATCTGAATCTCTTCTTTGACTACTTATGAAAACAACTGTTCAGCACTTCATGAGAACTACTGTTATGTGATGACAATGATGGTGGGTGGTCAGAGATATTTATTGTAAGTATGCTCTCCACATGTCTTCCTGGTGGTCCATGCAACTCAAAGTTATAACTGAACAAATACTAAACAGAAGCCAATTAGGTGCTTTGAACCTTTTGGCACACTTACAACTAGCTGAAACTTCAAATCCTTAAGCCAGAGAGCTGCTGTGAATCAAATAGTTTAAGAAGTTGCAGGGTAAATTTCAAAGTCATGGGAACACAATAATCTGGACAACAGGTCTTATCCCTATGTAGGGAGCCTTTATCATTCAAACCACATGGAAACCTGTAAAACCAAACAGTGCAACTACATTATTGAAAACTCAATGTTTCTGACGAAGTAAATTAAGAGTTGTAGATTCAGTAAGACTTTAAAGTAGAGAAGGTAATAACAGTGTTAAAATAGCCTATAGTAATCCTTATTGAGTCATAAACTATAATAGACTTTAGTAAAATTATAGGAGAAATTTTTAGCTTCAGGTATATGTATGATAAACATGTTATAAAGAATTTGGTGAGTGATTTTTTTTTTTCAAGGAAGAAACTAATTTTTACTGAGCATCTCCACTAAATAATCGACACTATAAGAAGTTTCACATTGGGCGGGGAAGGTGGCTTGGTGATAAAGTGCTTGCCTTGCATGCAGGAAGCCCTGGGTTTGATTCCTCAGCACCACATAAGCAGAAAAAGCCAGAAGTGGCACTGTGGCTCAAGTGGTAAAGTGCTAGCCTTGAGCTGAAGAGCTCAGGGACAGCACCCAGGCCCAGAGTTCAGGCCCCACGACCGACCAAAAAAAAAAAATTTCACATTAAGCAGGGTGCTGGTGGCTCACGCCTGTAATCCTAGCTTCTCAGGAGGCTGAGATCTGAGGATCACAGTTCAAAGCCAACCTGGGCAGGAAAATCCATGTGATTCTTATCTCCAATAAACCACCAGAAAACAGGAAATGGCATTGTGGCTCAAGTGGTAGAGCGCTAGCCTTGAGCTATAGAGCTCAGGGATAGCACCCAGGCCTAGAGTTCAGGCCCCACGACTGACAAAAAAAAAATTCACATTAAATTCAAGCTTAAGTAACAATAAAAACAACAATCTCAAAAACTTGAAAAGTTCCAGGGAATACTGATACAAAGAAAATCAAATTAACTTATATATACCTACTTTCAATAGGTGGTTTTGGTCCACTGACTAAAGATTCTGTAATCCGAGAGGCAACCGAGCTGTCAAACCCAGAATTAGAAGAATCTGGGTCTGGGTCACTGAGAATGCTAGGAAAGCTGGCTTTACTCTGGGTTGGCAATTCAGACTGGCGTTCTGAAAGAGGTTAAAATAAGAGGCATTTTTAAATTGAGGACACCATGAAGAGAGTGAAGGGACAAGCTACTAATTAGGAAAAGCTTTCTATCTGCAACACACTAAAAGAAAAAGTGGCAGGTTATCTGTGTGCACACAAAATACATATATTTTAACTCCTACAAATCGATAAAAATGAGAACACAAATGAGCCAGGTGTTGATGGCTCACCTCTGGCTCACTCCTGTAATCCTAGCTACTCAGGGGGCTGAGATCTGAGGACTGTGGTTCAAAGCCAACCTGGGCAGGAAACTTCATGAGACTCTTATCTCCAATAAACCACTCAGAAAACTGGAAGTGGTGTTGTGGCTCAAGTGGTAGAGCGCTTGGTCACCTTGAGCTAAAGAGCTAAGGGATAAGCGCTCAGGCCCAGTAAGCCCCACAACAATAAGACAAAAACAAAACAAAACAACAACAACAAAAAACAAAGTGGAACTGTGCTGTGCCTCAAAGTGGTAGAGCACTAGCCTTGAGCAAAAGAGCTCAGGGATAGCGCCTAGGCCCTGAATTCAAGCCCCAAAACTGATTAAAAATAGGCTGGGAATGTGGCTTAGTAGTAGAATGCTTGCCTAGCATGCATGAAGCCCTGGGTTTGATTCCTCAGTACCATATATATTGAAAAAGCCGGAAGTGGCACTGTGGCTCAAGTGGTAGAGTGCTAGTCTTGAACAAAAGTTCAGAGACAGTGTCTAGGCCCTGAGTTCAAGCCCCAGGAGCAGCAAAAAAAAAAAAAAAGGAGGGAGGGGGCTAGACATGTGGTGCTCAAATCTGTAATCCTAGCTACTTGGGAAGTAAAGGTTGGGGGAGTACAGTTTAAGGCCATCTTGAGTATACAAGTTTGCCCTCAATGGCACACACCTGTTAGCGGAAAACATGGCTGTGACCCGTGCCATACACCTGTTAGCTCAGTGACACTGGGAAGCACAAGTAGAAAGATTGCAGCCTAGCAAGGGCATAAAGCATGACCCTATCTCAAGAATAACCAATGCAAAAAGGGGCTGGAGGAATGGCTCAAGTGGTACAGTGTCTGTATACCAAGCTCAAGGTATACATACGTATACACTAAAGTAAATTCCTGATTTGGTATTTCAAAGCCAGGTGGTAGTGGCTCCTGCCATAGAAAAATCAAGAGTCTGAAATCTGAGGATTGCAGATGAAAGCCAGCCCACACAAAAATATCCATGAGACTGTGGTTTAAAGTCAGCCTGGGCAGAAAAGTTAATGAGAATCTTTTTTTTTTTTTTTTTTTGCGGTCATGGGCCTGAACTCTGGGCCTGGGTACTGTCCCTCAGCTCTTCAGCTCAAGGCTAGCACTCTACCACTTGAGCCACAGTGCCACTTCTGGCTTTTTTTGCTTATGTGGTGCTGAGGAATCGAACCCAGGGACTGATGCATGCAAGACAAACATCCTACCACTGAGCCACCTTCCAGGCCCTCCATGAGACTATTATCTCCAATAAACTACTCTGAAAAAAGCCAGAGTGGCCCCGTGGTTCAAATGGTAGAGTACTAGCCTTGAGCAAGAAGCTCAGGGCCATTACCCAGGCCCTGAGTTCAGGCTCCATGACCAACAAAATCAGAAGTGGCCCTGTGGCTCACTGAATGCTAGTCTTGACTGAAAAAGCACAGGGACAGCACCCAGGCCCCAGAACCAGGAAAAAAAAAAAATTCCAATAAAAAGTTCAAAAAAATTCAAAAAAGAAACGATGAAAGATCTGGGTTTTTTGTTTGTTTTTAGTCAGTCATGGGTCTTGAACTCTGAGCATGGGCTCTGTCCCTGAGCTCTTCAACTCAAGGCTAGAACTCTATTACTTGAACCACACTGCCACTTCTGGTTTTCTGGTGGTTAATTGGAGATAAAGAGTTTCACAAATGTTCCTGCCAGGGATGGCTTTGAACCAGAATCCTCAGATCTCAGCCTCCTGAGTGGCTAGAATTACAGATAGGTGTGAGCCAGCACCTGGCCCAAAAGATCTGTTTTGAAAGTACTTATATTAGGTCTTCAAAAAGAAGCTTAGCCCAAACATGGTGAATGTATAAAATTGATCTTTTACTTGAAGTAAATCTATGTTCAATACCTTAAAAAAATCAATAGAAGACCATCAATCCAATGGGAAATAGCCAGAAACATATGAAAAGATGTATTACATTCCATGTGATGTTCAACCTGGTTCGGTTAATAGGGAAAATACTGGCCAAATAAAAAGAAGTAAAAAGAAAGCTAAATAACATACTGTTGGCCAAGATGTAGGGAAAAAAAATTAAACTAGCAAATTGTGAAATACACTAGTAAATAGTATTTGTCAGAAAATAGTTAAATTTCTAGAATGAACATTGTGATTGTTAACAGGGTAAATATCTCCCCCTTATCATAAGTTTAACTTGTCTGCTATGTTTTCTAAAGTTAGAGAAACACAAATATAACTTTGGTCCAAAGACCCTACAATAAAGCATCTTGTTTCAGGCCTCAGCGGCAAGCTCCAGAGAAGCAAGGAGCAAGGTGTGCTTACTTTGGGGGCAGGAAGAGGAAACTGTTGTGAAAAAGAAGGGGTTGGACATCTTCAATCTGGGTGGAGGAGAGGAAGAGCAAACTTTGCCACTCAGCCACTTTCCCACTCTAATTCAAGACACTGTTCTTTCTAAACTTGTCACCAGTGGCTCATGCCTATAATCCTAGCTACTTCAGGAGGCTGAGATGTGAGGATAGTAGTTCAAAGTTTCTTTTTTGTTGTTGTTGGTGGTGGTCATGGGGCCTGAACTCTGGGCCTGGGTGCTGTTCCTCCACTCTTCAGCTCAAGGCTAGCACTCTACCACTTGAGCCACAGCAGCAGCACTTCCGGTTTTTTCTGCTTACATGGTGCTAAGGAATAGAACCCAGAGCCTCATGTATGCAAGGCAAGCACTCTACCACCAAGCCTCCTTCCCAGCACCAAGTCTGTGAAATTCTTAACTCCAATTTAACCAACAAAAGCCAGAAGTGGAGGTATGGCTAGAGTGCTAGCCTTGGAACAGCACTTAAGCCCTGAGTTCAAGCCCCAGTATTCAGCTCAAAAAAAGATTTCCTGGGCTGACTGAAGTCATCAAAAATTAAAAGGCAGGACAAATTTGACTCTCACTTGATTAAATATAAGGTTAAAACCCTCAAATATACACCTCTAAAGGAAAGGCGAGTGAGATTGCCTATGACTTTGGTCTCTAGAGTACAACCACCTTTCATTTAGCAAAACAATTTTAATCTGTTATTAGCCTTAATCTGCATGGTAACTTACTTTTTGTATAGTTTCTACCTCAGAAATCTTAAAAGATTTTTTACTGTTAATGTAATAGTTGAAAAGTGAGATTTAGAGTGTTCCAAAGGAAAACAGTGCATGGACCAGGCTAGCTCAGGGGGAAGAGCCTGCTCAAGAGGTACAGGCCCTACCTTCCATCTGAGCACCACAATAAATAAAATGAAACAAAACCCTAATACAAAGCTACAGCATCCACAACAGTTTAAGTACTGTCCTAAACACAATTTAGAGAGTAGACAGCAGGACAGAATAGAGTGCCCAGAAATAACACTCACATATATGGACAACTGGCCTTCAAAATGGATAGCACAACAACACCTGAGATGGACATTTTTATTTCTGAAAAAAAGTGGGATTGAAGAATCTTACTCAACTTGAACACTATTTTGGGTAGTAATGACACTCTAACAATACCATTAACCAACATGAACATTTAAAACAAACACACACCTTTATCTGGCATTGTTTAAAACTGAAAAGGCAAACAAAATGACAAAAATGGACTTCCATTTAGAAAGTACTGAAATTACTTGTTTAAGTAAGAAATACTACCTAACCACAACAATGAATCTATCATAAGAGACAAGAACCTTACCAGCCAAGGCCAGCTGAAGCCCACTAATATCCACAGACTGGCTCATGTTTCCAACATCCATCAATGCAATCTGGCGAGGCGTCTTTTTGAAGAGTTCCCTTGGAGGTGCCAGCATGAGCTGGGAAAGAAAAAACTTTTCTGGTGGAGTTATAGGAGGTAAAAATCCTGTGAAGAAAAACAGAAAGTGTCTCCAACAGTTGCTTTAAAATTTTAACTTGAATGTAATTAAAAAAAAAAAAAAAGCTGTAGCCGGACACCAGTTGCTCACACCTGTAACCCTAGCTACTCAGGAGACTAAGATCTGATGATCAAGGCTCAAAGCCAGCCCGGGCAGGAAAGACTGTGAGACTTATCTCTGATGAACCACAATTAACTGGAAGTGGCACTGTGGCTCAAGTGGTAGAGCACTAGCCTTGAACTGAAGAGCTCAGGGACAACGCCCAGCCTGAGTTCAAGCCCCACGACTAACCAAAAAACAAAACAAAAAACATCTGCTGCTTGCCACTTTAATCAACATACTTTTTTTTTTTTTTGTCGGTCGTGGGGCTTGAACTCTGGGCCTAGGCGTTGTCCCTCAGCTCTTCAGCTCAAGGCGAGCGCTTTACCACTTGAGCTACCGCGCCACTTCCTAATCAACATACTTTTACAAACTAAATCATAATGGAGCCCAGGCATCGATGGCCCACAATCCTAACTACTCAATAGGCTGAGGACTGGAGGATCACAATTTCAAGCTAGCCTGGGCAGAAAAGTCTGAGATACTATCTCTGAAATTAACCAGCAAAAAGCCAAGCTGGGGTTGTGGGTAAAGTGGGAAAATGCCAGCCTACCAAAAATAAGGCCCCAGTTCAAACTCTGGCACTAAATATTCAACTAATCTAATACATACATGTGTATATTCTGCAATTAAATGTCATTTGAAATGTAGTGTTCTTGTGGCACTCTCAATGAAAGAGATAAAAAAAATGGTAGCATTTAGAAATGCTTTTTTGTCTGAAACTGAGATGCATTGAAGCTAAAAGCAAAAAGACAGAAGGGCTGGGAATGTGATTTAGTAGTGGAATGCTTGCCTAGCATACATGAAGCCCTGGGTTCAATTCCTTAGTACCATATACACAGAAAAAGCCAGAAGTGGCACTGTGGCTCAAGTGGTAGAGTGCTAAGAGGCTTAGGGAGAGTGCTCAGGCCCTGAATTCAAACCTCAGGACTGACCAAAAAAAAAAAAAAAAATCCATGGGTTCCTTCCCTGACAACTACTTCCTTGCCTCCTCCTCCCTACAATCTTGTTCACAGTTCAGCACATTGAGGAGGTACATACAGGTTTATAGTACTACATTTGAGAATGTTATTATATCATTGTCTAACCAGACCTACAGAATTCACTGGGCCTCTGACCTAAAATCCCACATTGTCCCCCACTCCTAAGGCACTTTTGGGTAGCCTTATGTATATTACACTCACTTTCAGGGAAGCAACAAACTGTACCAAAAGCCAGTTAAGTACACTGTCATTGGAGCAATGTTCCACTGGTACACATTCCATATAAATGTTCCCACAGGCCAAATTCCAGACCACCTTCTACCCTGGCCCCTACCATTAGTTTTCACTTTCTTTTGGTTTCTGTGTACAAACCCGAGTTGGAACTCAGTGCCTCAGGCATTCTACCACTTGAGCCATACACCCAGTCCTATTAACTTTAATTTTCAAATAAGTTTTTTTTTTTTTTCTTGTCAGTTGTGGGGCATGAACTCAGGGCCTGAGCAGTATCCCTGAGCTTTTTCACTCAAGGCTAGTACTCTACCACTTTCAGCCACAGCTCCACTTCCAATTTTCTGGTGGTTAACTGGAGACAAGTATCTCAAGACATTTCTACCCCAGCTGGCTTTGAACCGTGATCTCCTCAGATCTCAGCCTCTGAGTAGCTAGGATTACAGACGTGAACCACCAGCACTTGACTAAGTTCTCTCTTTTATGCAAAGAAGGCCCAGACTGCAGTCCTCCTATTACCACTTTGTGCTTAAGCTGGGATGAAAGAAAGGTGCGACCCTACACCACACTGTGGTGGTTAAGATAGCATCCTGCTCCAGGAAATGGAAACAAGAGATTCTTTTTTCTTTTTTGCTGTTTTTCTTTTTTTTTTTTGGGGGGGGGGAGGTCTGGTCGTGGGGCCTGACCTCTGGGCCTGGGCGCTGTCCCTTAGCTCTTCAGCTCAAGGCTAGCACTCTACCACTTGAGCCACAGCGCCACTTCCGGCTTTTTTCTTATGTGGTGCTGAGGAATCGAACCCAGGGCCTCGAACATGCAAGGCAAGTGCTCTACCACTGAGCCACCTTCCCAGCCCTCTTTTTTGCTGTTTTTCTTTTCTTTTTGTTCATTTATATATGTCTTTGGGAGTGTAAGAGGGAGCGCAGAAATGGAAGGACAAAGGGTGAACAAATGCAGCAATGGTGCTCACTGGACACTATGTTGAACATGAACTTTACAACTTGTGAGTGGGGAACAGGAGGGAAAAACTAGGAAAGGGGGGGGGGGGGGAATGGGTGACATTGTCGAAAAAGAAATGTACTCTTTACCTGACTTTCCTAACTATAACCTCTCTGTACATCACCTTTACAATAACAATAAAAAAAATTAAAGAGAGGGTGTTGCCCAAAGGAAGATACTCTTAGGAGTGGAACCCAAGGCCTCTGTGCCTCTCAGCATCTAAGATTTATCGAAATGAATCAAGGAAAAGGGGGGCTGGAGGGAGGGGAGGAAGAGGGTCTTTTACCCCCCCCCCCGCCCCCGGCCTGGCCTAGAAGTGCTATTACCCGGTTCTCAGCCACCCGAACAGGTGGAATCACAGGTGTGAGCCACCAATGCCTAGCATCTCGTTACTGTTGTTGTTTTTAACACTGGACTTCTATTGGCTCCTCAGAGACTTAAAAAACGGGGTCGGGGCCGCGTGTGTCATCCGTTCTGCACCTCGTGGGCATCCTGGAGACCACTCTCAACACGCCGAGCCCTCCAGCGAGCTGTCCGATCCGACGGCCTACGGGACGGGACGACTCTCGGCACCGCAGGTACTCGCTTCCCCACTGCAGTCTGGGCGCTGGGAGGGGAGGGCCTCGCCGGCGAGAGCCTGGGGCTTCCCTCGCGCGGGGCGGGGCGGGGCGGGGCGGGGAGGGAGGCTGCTCAGGCGGGGCGCGTCCCCGCCCCGGCCGCGCGGGGTGGGCTACCTGAGAGCGGCGGGCGGTCGGGCTCCTGGCCGCCGCGGGCGGGCGGAGCGGGGTTGAGCAGGTGCGCGAAGCTGGCGGCGAAGGGGTTGGCGGCGAGCGGCTCGGTGCGGTACATCTCCCAGAGCAGGTAGAGCGCGGTGAGGCGCTGCGCCGCGCTGGGCAGCAGGTCGGGCTGCTGCAGCAGCATCACCAGCACCGAGCCCAGGCGGAAGTGGTCGGCCTTGCTGAAGTAGTGGTGGAAGGCGGTGGACAGGCCCTCGAACGTGCTGCCGCCGCCCGCCTCCTCCGAGATGATGCTCAGCAGGCTCGACAGCTCCTTCGGGCTCAGGCTCATCCTGCCCGCGGGGCCTCCGCCGCCCGAGCCCCCCGGGCCGTTGCGGAACGCCGCTGTCGCTTCCCGGGACCCCTTCTGCTCCGCGCTGAGGAGAAGCCGGCCTGACGTGGCGCTGGCCCCGCCACCGGGCATCCACTTGGCCTGCCGGCCCTGCTTCCCGGCCCGAGCGGCCCTGGCGCCCGCTCGCTCCGTCGCCCCGGCCGTAAAGCGCGCTGTAATTGCGACAGCGTCGCAAACAAAACACGCCGCGGAAGGCCGAGGGTAGCGCAGGAAGAGGGGACGGCGCCCCTGGTTGGAGCCAGGCCGAGCCCGGGAATCCTCAGACGCGAGGTGGGCGGGGAGACGTGCCCGGAAATGGGCGGGGGGAGGGCGTGGCCAGGGTGTGACGGCTGGGTCTGGACTTTGGATACCCGGAATTGGCTACCGGAGGCGCCGGGTCGTAGGCCTGGGGAAGCGAGGTGGGTGCCTTCAGGGTCCTAAGAGTCGGGCCTGGCACGACACTGTATGGAAGATGTGTCTTCGTGTTCTTAACATCCATGACTGCTCATAGTAAAGTATTGTAAATGCAAAGAACTAAAGACACCACGCGTTCCTCAGAGCCAAAGTTAATTTCTAGGGAGTCTTAACATTTGTTTTCTCAGGAGTGGGATCTTTGCACATGGTTTGGAGTTGTTAGGGCGGAAATTGCACGGGCTATGCCATTCCTCCAGCCCATGTCGCCTTGGTGGGTTCCAGGTGAGCTTTTTCCCTGTCACTCAACAGCTGGAGCTGTGTTTCACTGGGCCAGAGAGGGCTTCAGGACAGAGCCCCCGGCCCCAGCTCCGATCCAGAGTGGCCCAGGCTGGGAGGATCTCGGGTTGAGTATTGAGGCTGATCACTGAGGCTGGGAGTCCTCTCCTTGAGCGTTTGTGGCTGTGGGGGAACTCTGGGGGGGTGACTGGCTCTGGGAGTTGGGTTGGCTGGCACACTCAGGTGTACATGCCACAGGTGCACATAGGATTTTTGTACATGATTGTCGTTAACAGAGTTCCAAGAGAGTATTCCCAATAATTAGTCAAAAACCGGGCATTGGGCTGGGAATGTGGCTCAGTGGTAGAGTGCTTGCCTCACATGCATAAAGCCCTGGGTTCAATTCCTTTATACCACATAAACCGAAAAAAAAAAAAAAAAAGCTGGAAGTGGCACAAGAGTGCTAGCCTTGAGCAAAAGAAGCTCAGAGACAGTGACCAGGCCCTGAGTTCAAGCCTTATGACTGGACCAAAAAAAAAAAAAGAAAGAAAGAAAGAGCATTGTGTTCAAGCTTGGAATCCTAGTATTCTGGTTGGGGAGGTGAAGCAGGATGTTCTCCAGTTCCTAGCCAGCCTGAGCTTATTTAGTGTGACTCCATCTCAAAAAAAGAAAGAAAGAAATGAAAGAAGAGAGAGGAAGGGAGGGAATTCACAAAACTTTTTAGCTTCCACTGGGATGCTTGTATGTTGCGCCCAAGTTCCCCCTCCCCGCTCCTGGTCATGGGGCTTGAACTCAGGGTCTGGGCACTATCCCTGAGCTCTTTTTCTCAAGGCTAGTACTCTACCACTTTGAGCCACAGCTCCCTTTTCAGTTGATATTTTTATTATTATAAGTGAGATATATTTTATTTGAATCATTTTGCCTTGTGGGACCTATTTGGGACAGCAACTATTCTACAATACTGATTCATACTAATTATTAATTATAGAATAAATTGTTAATACAAATATTAAAAACTGATCTTTTTGAAGATGATTAAATGTATTTGAACATTCCTTTCTTTTGGGGGTAAAAGAAAACTAGTATTTTTCTTTCTATGGAAACACTTCCAAGATTAACATGTTATCCACACTTTCTTCTGTGGACCAGAAACCAGCTACTGTAACATAGCTGACAAACTGGGTAAATTCACCTAACAGAAATTGGTTCTCTCACAAGTTGCAAAGACTATAAATCTGAAATCAAGTGGCCAAACAGCCAGCCCACTTTGAAGTCTCTAGGGAAGAACTTCCCTGTCTCTTCCTTAAAAAAAAAAAAAAAAAAAAAGTACGTTAATTGCAGCATAGAGACCCTGGCCTGGCCCGAAGTACCCATAGGCAAAGATTAAAAAAAAAAAACATTATTTCCAAACATCCTGCCTATGCCCCTCCCCTGATACTTCTAGTTCCTCAAATTCCAACTTTTTGATTACCCAGAGGCATTTGCAAATAACCTGATTAGGAATTAACGACGAATTAGAATGTGTCCTGATCCAACCAACAAAAAGTTACCTTACAAAACACCTAATCAACAGGGTATGGTGGACTATAATCCTAGCTATTTTGGAGGCTGAGATCTGAGAGTCATAGTATAAAGCCAGATTGGCTACAAAGTCCATGAGATTCTCTCTCCAGATAACCAGCAAAAAATCAGAACTGGAGTTGTTCAAGTGATATTACACTAACTTTGATCAAAAAAGGTCAGGTACAGAATCTAGGCCCTGAGTACCAGGACTGGCACAAACAACAACAACCACAAAACTATTCTAGGGACAATCAACCAGAACACAGTTCAGGGTATTAAAAAATTCCTAGACTCGGGCTGGGAATGTGGCTTAGTTGCAGGAGTGCCTACCTAGCATGCATGGATTCGATTCCTCAGTACCACTTAAACAGAAAAAGCCAGAAGTGGCACTGTGACTCAAGAGCTAGAATGCTAGCCTTGAACAAAAGAACCTCAGGACGTTGCCCAGGCCCCAAGTTCACTCCCCAGGATTGGCAAAAAACAAAACAAAACAATAACAACAAAAACCTTAGACTTAACTACCTGGAGAGAGAGCTGCATCAACCCTTCACTGATTTATTTATTTTCTAAATAAAGTTCTTCACATTCATTCATCATTGTCAGCAGGGGGCAGTATCGCTGAAACACTAGTAAACATCTGCTACAGGGAAGCAACCCTAGTGGTCCCAGCTATAGAGTTAAAAGGACTGTGATAACAACCCATTCTGCCCATCTTGAAGAAACTCACTAGGTCCAAGTGTTTGCCATCAGTCCTGAAGTTGGCTTTATTTATTATTTATTTATTTTCTGTTGTGGGACCTGAACTCTGGGCCTGGGCACTGTCCCTGAGCTCTTCAGCTCAAGGCTAGCACTCTATCACTTGAACTATAGTGCCACTTTGGCTTTTTCTGCTTATGTGATGCTGAGAAATTGAACCTAAGGCAAGCACTCTATCACTGAGCCATCTTCCCAGCCCCTGAAGTCAGCTTTTTAACTGCAGTATTCAATTCCCTGCCTCTTTCTAACTTGGCCTACTTGTTTGTAACTCCTGTATGAGCCTGTGTGTGTGTGTGTGTGTGTGTGTGTGTGTGTGTGTGTGTGTGTGTAACTCCTGTATGAGCCTGTGTGTGTGTGTGTGTGTGTGTGTGTGTGTGTGTGTGTGTGTGTGTGTGTGTAAGCCAGTGATGATAGCCTTCTGATTAGAATAGGGAAGAATCTCAACTTGGAGCTTAAGCTCCAGGCCTGGTCTCTATCCCTGATCTCTTTTGCTCAAGGCTAGATAGAGTTCTGTCACTTTGAGCCACAGCTACACTTCTGGCTTTTTTTTGTTTGTTTTTTGCTTGTTTGTTTGTATGGTCTCCTCAGGTTTTCTGTTGATTTAGTGGAGATAAGAGTCTCACACACTGGTCTGCCCCTGAACTGCTTGTCTGGCTCTGAACTACGATCTTCAGATCTTAGATTCCTGAGTAGCTAGGATTACAAGTGTGAGCCACCGGCTCCTGGCTCCACTTCTGTTTTTTTGAGTAGTTAAATGGAAATAAGAGTCTTACAGGGACTTTTCTGCTGGGGCTAGCTAGCTTCTAACCATGATCCCGAGATCTCAGCCTCCTGAGTAACTAGGATTGCAGGCATGAGCCACTGGCACCTGGCTCAGGGCAGTTTTTGATTGGGTGAGGTTGGGGGTACACATGCACATGCACATATATATGTTTCTGGGGCTTGAACTCAGGGCCTGAATGTTGTCCCTAAGATTTTTTGCTCAAAACTAGAACTCTACCACTTGAGCCTCCGTTCTACTTTCTGCTTTTTTGGTAGTTAATTGAAGAGTCTCCTGGACTTCCCTGCCTGGGCAGGCTTCAAACCAAAATCCTCAGATCAAACCAAGTTCCCCCTTTGTAGCTAGGATTATAGGCATGAGCCACTGGTGCCAGGCTCGATGCAGATTTGACTAGCATTTCCCTGATCAACAAGACCATTCAACATTATTTCATGTATTTATTGGCCATTTATATTTCTTCAATTAAAAGACCTACATTCAGTTCATTTGCACATTTACTGACTGGGTTATTTGTTATTTTGTTGTTTACTTATTTTTCTTCAGTTCTTCATGTGTTCTTGATATTAATCACCTGCCTGATAATATCTGGCAAAGTGGGGGGGGAGGGGGGTATGATTGGGTGGGGGGGAGGGGGGAGGCAAAAAAAAAAAATATCTGGCAAAGATTTTCTCCCATTCTGCAGGCTGTCTTTATTTTGTTTATTGTTCTCTTTGCTGTACAGAAGCAAATTTCAGACATTCCCAGTTGTTAAATCCTGTCATTTCCTGAGCTATTAGAGTCCTATTCAGAAAGTCTGCTTATGACTTTCCTAGACGGGCTGGCTTTGAACTTCCATCCTCAGATCTCAGCTTTCTGAACAGGTAGGCTTACAGACAGACATGAGCTGCCAGTGCTCAGCTGTTCTCTTCCTTTTGTTGTCAGATTCTCCCAGGGATTTCTCTGAGCTGGAGGGAAGCCAGAACACCAGTAGTCTCCATAATGTCCTTTAGTTCTCTGAGCAACATTCGTCGATAGCTTTGGTCACCAGCCTGTATCTGGCTCCACGGGACCCCATATTGTCCACAGTGGTTCCTCTCATACCAGACCTTTTCCTGAGAACAGCAATTTGCTCCATTTTGATGTAAGTACTGAGCAGAGTGACTGCATTGTGTTTGTGCAATCATACAACTACCTTCTGTCCAGTGCAAACCAGTCTGTCAACTGATAAATTACACAACAAATGAAACGTCTCCATCTATGAAATTATCAACACATGACACATCACATGTGCTTTTCAAACTTACATTTTAAAAATCCCCAAACCCTTCATCTATTAGAAAGAATATGATGTCATTTGCAGGGAAATGGGTGGACCTAGGGGAAAAATTTTTTTTTGGTCAGTTGTGGGGCTTGAACTCTGGGCCTAGGCACTGTCCTTCAGCTTTTCAGCTCAAGGCTAGCACTCTGTCACTTGAGCCACAGTGCCACTTCTGGTTTTCTGAGTGGTTTATTGGAGCTAAGAGTCTCACAGCCTTTCCTGCCTGGCTGACCTTGAAAAGTGATCCTCAGATCTCAGCCTCCTGAGTAGCTAGAGCCACCAGCACCTGGCCGGACCTAGAAAAAAATTTAAGTGAAGTAAATCAGGCTCAGAATGAGCCTGAGTTAACTTATATGTGAAAATTAGAACTAAATTAGAAACATACATATAACATATACAGGGTTATATGTATACATACATAAATTTGACAAAAGGATTGTATAGTTAGGGAAGGAGTCCAATGGTATAATTCCTTTGAACAACTAGTGAACTTTTTTTTTGGGGGGGGGGTTTGGTTGTGGGGCCTGAACTCTGGGCCTGGACACTGTCCCTCAGCTCTTCAGCTCAAGGCTAGCTCTCTACCACTTGAGTCACAACGCCACTCTGGCTTTTTTTCTTTTTGCTTATGTGGTGCTGAGGAATCAAACCCAGGGCCTCATGCATGCAAGGCAAACGCTCTACCACTGAGCCACCTTCCCAGCCCCAGTGAACTATTTTTTTAAAAAAGAATATTGAAACATGTTTTAGAGGAACAACAAAAGAGGGATACGCAAATGGAGAGAGGAAGGCTGAGTATATAACATTCATTATATTTAATGTATACTATGTAAAAATTGAACTAAGTTGAGGGTGGATGGAATGGAAAAAGATGGGGGAAAATGATGGAAGGTGTGACATTGATAAAAATGCATTGTTAGGTGTGTGTGTGTGTGTGTGTGTGTGTGTGTGTGTGTGTGTGTGTGTGTCTGTCTGTCTGTCTGTCTGTCTGTCTGTGTGCCTGTGTGTATGCCAGTCCTGGGGCTTGAACTTGGGGCCTGGACACTATCCCTGAGCTTTTGTGCTTAAGGCTAGTGTTTTACTGTTTTGAGCCACAGTGCTATTTCCAGCTTTTGGGTAGTTAATTGGAAATAAGAGTCTCACGTCTCAACAGATGCTGGCAGAGATGTGTCCAACTACACTGTTGGTAGAAATATAAACTGGTTCAACCACTCTGGAAAGCAATATGGAGGTTCCTCAAAAGACTAACATAGAGCTCCCCTATGATCCAGCAATCCCACTCCTGGGCATTTACCCAATCACAAGGAAGGCCACACTAAAGCTACCAGCACAACCATGTTCATTGAAGATGAACATCATCTAAGATATGGAACCAACCGAGATGCCCCTCAGTAGATTAATAAATCAAGAAAATGTGGTAGATATACACAATGGAATTCTGTGCTTCTATCAGAAAGAATGACATCACCCATTTGTAAGGAAATGGAAAGACTTGAAAAAAAAATTAAGTGAAATAAGCCAGACCTAAAGACACATAGGCTCCATGGTTTCCGTCATTTATATTTGTTTGTTTGTTTTTTGGGGGGGTCCAGTCGTGGGCCTGAACTCTGGGCCTTGGTGCTGTCCCTCAGCTCTTCACCTCAAGGCTAGCACTCTACCACTTGAGCCACAGCTCCACTTCCAGCTTTTTTTTCCTGCTTACATGGTGCTAAGGAATGGAACCCAGGGCCTCATGCATGCAAGCGCTCTACCACTGAACCACCTTCCCAGCCCCTCCCTCATTTGTAATAATTAGCATATGTCTAGGATAGCCCTAACAGAGGATCACAATAGCTCAATAGCTATGTACATATGACTATATAAAATTATTCTAATCAAAATGAACTCTAAAATATGGAAATGAGGGTTTGTTTGTTTTTTTTAATGTACCATGTGAAGTAATTTCTTTTTTCTCTCATTTTTTCCCCTTTGGTTTATCCCTTTTTGTCACTGTTTTTTATTTTGGTACCCTATGTCTTGTTTATATGTTTATCTGATTTGGGAAAAGGAAGGGGAATCACAAAATGGTGAGACAAAAGGCAAAGGGTGAACCAAAGCAACAGTGATACTCACAAGACACTATGTTGGAAATGAACTTCACAACTTGGGGGAAAGGTAGTGGTTGGGGAGGAGGGAAAGTGGGAGAAAATGAGGGAGGGGGTAACAGTGTTGGACAAGAAATGTACTCATTACCTTACTTATGTAACTGTAACCCCTCTATACATCACCTTTACAACAAAAGTAAACTAAATTTAAAAAAGAAAAGAGTCTCACATCTCAACTCTCTCCTGCCTCCTGCCGCAGCTGGCTTTGAACTAGTCCTCGTGGCCCAGGCCCATACCGACCAGGCAAATCACAGGTATGTATGGACTTGTTTGATGTACTGGCAGAGCAATCCACCTAAGCCCAGCTGTAAACATCCCATTGTGGGCCCAATTGAAAAGCCCCCACCTTTCATTAACTTCTGCCTCCTTGCTCAGACCTCATATAAAAACCCAGCTCCTGTCCAAACTCTCAGGCACAATCTCCAAACCCGCAGGAAGGTCTGTGCCCCTCATGCCCCAGGCATCATACATGCTAGGCAAGCACTCTACCATTGAGCCACCTTCCCAGGCCCAAGCGCTTTTTCTTTTTTCCAGTCCTGGGGCTTAAACTCTGGGCCTGGGTGCTGTCCCCGAGCTACTTTTGCTCAAGGCTAGAAGCTCTACCACTTGAGCTATAGCACCACTAATGGTTTTTTCTGGGTAATGTGGTACTGAAAAATTGAACCCAGGGCTTTGTGCATGTTAGCAAGCACTCTACCACTAAGCTAACTTCCCAGCCCATATCAGCACTTTTTTATTTTGTCGGTCTTGGTGCTTGAACTCTGGGCCTGGGTGCTGTCCCCTGAGCTGCTTTTGCTCAAGGATAGGGTTCTACCACTTGAGCCATAGCACCATTTCCAGTTTTCTGGTGGTTTATTGGAGATAAGAGTTTCACGGCCTTTTCTGCCTGGGCTGGCTTTGAACCATGATCCTCAGATCTCAGTAGCTAGGATTAAAGGTGTGAGCCATCAGCTCCCAGCATATCAGCACTTTTTAAAAGTTTCCTTGGTGTGTTTCCAAGACCTAGTTCTAGGCTACTCCTAAGGAATATACTTATCACCACTAGATGGCGACAGAGTCCCCAACAAAAGCCTTAGCCCAACCCTTGGGATAAAAATCAATATTCCTCTTTATTTTGAATTTGAGTAAGAACAGCATATCAGCTGCAATTCATAGTCATATAACATTTGCAATATAAAAAACACCAACTCCAATATTATACTTCTCAGAGCTAATCTGATGTGACAGATACAAGATGCTTTAAAAAATAGATTTTTGGGTTGGGAAGGTGACTCAGTGGTAGAGTGCTTGCCTTGCATGCATGAGGCCCTGAGTTCAATTCCTCAGCACCACAAAAGCAGAAAAAACCGGAAATGGCGCTGTGGCTCAAGTGGTAGAGCGCTAGCCTTGAGCTGAAGAGCTGAGGAACAGCGCCCAGGTCCAGAGTTCAGGCCAAAAAAAAAAAAAGATTTTATAGCCAGGTATCAGTGGTTCACTCCTGTAATCCTAACTACTTAGGAAGCTGAGATCTGATTATTATGGTTCACAACCAGCCCAGGCAGGAAAGTCTGTGAGACTCTTATCTCCAATAGGAGATACCAAAAAGCCAGGGATGGTGCTGTCGCTCAAAGAGCTAGAGCACTAGTCTTTTTTTTTTTTTTTTTTTTTTTTTTTTTTTGGGGGGTCCGGTCGTGGGGCCTGAACTCTGGGCCTGGGCGCTGTCCCTCAGCTCTTCAGCTCAAGGCTAGCACTCTACCACTTGAGCCACAGTGCCACTTCCGGCTTTTTTCTTTTTTCTTATGTGGTGCTGCGGAATCGAACCCAGGGCCTCAGGCATGCAAGGCACGCACTCTACCACCTGGCCATCTTCCCAGCCCTAGAGCACTAGTCTTGAGCACAAAAGCTCAGGGACAGTTCCTAGGCCCTGAGTTCAAGCCCCAGGACTGGCACAAAAAAAAAAAAAAATTCTAGTTATTTCTAATCCTGTCTTTAAAAAATGACTTTAGGCATAAAAATTGTAAACATTGCTGTAACAAGCATCAGTATGCCCTTATTTCCCAAACTGAAAATATAGAATATATTCATAATCTTCTAGGTATGTTTCCCATCTCAAATTTCCTAGCCTGTCTTTTCTATTCTAAAATGTCTAAGTTTACATGTATGATCACATGTGTATAGGATCTATAACCAGGAGTTTTAAGCCATAGCCCAACAGGAGTTCCAGAATGTCAAGTCCAATCACTCCCCAGCACACCAAATAGCAATGCTGGGCACAGAAAGGAGCTTCATCACTCACTATAGAATGGCAAAATAAGCATGTCAGCTCATCTTGGGGGAACAGACTTAGGTGTAAAATGAGGAAGATTATAACACAGTCTCAGGTAAAGTATGGCCTGGCAGATCACTGTTCCGGAAGACTCTGCATCAGAGGTCCAGGGTTCAGGAGAAGTTGCTGTTGCTGTAACTTGAGAGAAGCAATCTGGTCATGATGACAAAGTCATTGGGAGACAGTGTGTACTTTTTCTTCTTCTTTTTATTAATGTTAAATAGTATGTTGATTTGAAAGTGAAAAGAAAGCCATTAAAAGAAGTATGACTCTACCTGGAGAGAAGCTTGAAAGAGGAGACCAAAGAACTCTCTGAGAGTGAGGTTTTTTTTGTTACTTTGGGTTTTTTTTGCCTGTCCTGGGTTTGAACTCAGGGCTCAAACACTGTCCCTGAGCCTCTTTGTGCTCAAAGCTAGTACTCTTCCACTTGAGCTACAGCTCTACTTATAGCTTTTTCTAAGTAGTTTATTGGAGACATGAGCTACCTGCTCCTGACTCAGAAAGTGGCTTTATAGCACATGATTCCTACTATATCAGTTGTACTCTTGTCATAAGACATTTATCAATATGTGTGTCCTTCCTGGATTCCAGAGTGATTGTAGAGGCTCAGAGTTCAGAAGACAGATATAAGTGCAGACAAGAATGCCAAGCTGTTAGACTTTGCTAACTGATGGAGGGGTTGGCTTCAATCGTGATACTTTGTATGTAAATGTCACCAAAAAAAAATCTCCCTTGAACAACTAATGTATGCTGATCTAAAAGAAAAAGTTCAGATAGCAGTGAATGTGTTGAGTCTGGTGAGTGGTATTCTGTATTGATTCTAGTTTCCCCTGGGAGGGCATCATCTCATCAAAAACTGTGATTGGGCCCAGTACTGGTAATTAATGCTTGTAATCCTAGCTACTCAAGAGGCTGAGATCTGAGGATTTCAGTTAGAAGCCAGCAGGGCATGAAAGTCCCCAGGAGACTCTTAGCTCCAATTAACCACCAGAAAACTGGAAGTAGGGCTGTGGCTCAAGTGGTAGAACACTAGGCTTGAGCAAAAAACCTTAGGGACAGCACCCAGGCCTGGCGTTCAAGTGCCATGACTGACCAAAACCAAACCAAACCAACAACTGTGATTAGGGCTGAAATTTTACCTGATAAGTTAGCCTATCAAGGTTTCATGGACCCTAGTGCAGAAAGAGTCTCCTGCACTATGAAAGATAATTACTATTCACCATCCATAATAGTGATCATCTTAGCAGCAACATTTGACCCTGTCCCAGAGACTCAGCACCCAGGGTAAAAGTGGGAAGTGATAGTTGTAACTCAATTGGTTTCCATTGCATGAAAGGATCTCAGAGTTTGAGGAACACACATCTCTTATACTAGGCAATAAGCATGTTAACAAAACAATAAACAAAAAACCCTGCAATTAGTACTTAAACTACTTTGGGTCCCACAAATTACCTAAAGGCAAGAGAAAATCATGGCATCCTTACCAGATGTTTTTCATCTGTTCTTTGCTCTGAATCCTTCACGTTGCAGCCACCTGTATCCAAAAAGGACAGAACCGATAACACCTTTACATGAAGGGATGGAGAAAATTGCCCCTAAGGAAAGGAGCAGGACACTCTCCACAGGACAGGACTCTGTCCAGGCAACAATGATTTGTTTATCCTGACCTGACTTCTGCTCAAGTAATGTCAATGACAACAACTCCTGAACCTATGCCAGAGCAAGGACTGAGATAATGACCAACCAGCCCACAATGTAACTGGGGCTGTTGAATGCATACCTGCCACTTCCTGCCCTAATTATTTTTCTATGTAAACCCAAGGCTTATGCCTCATCTCTGGCAGAAAAAGATGATGGGTAAAAGCAGATGGCAGAAGGGTGAGTGGGCTGAAGTCATTACTTTGTTTCTTCCTATGGTATGCTTGGGCTTTGTAATACCGATCTCCTTTATCTGCCTTTTACTACTACTCATCTCTTTAGTTGTGGTACTGGAGTCAGTGGCCAGTCCTGACTTAAGGAAACCCAGCATTTGGGGCCGGAGGCCTAAAACTATGGTTTCAAGCTGGCTTTGTTCCCACCTGCCCCACAGAACAGGCACCAAAGGGAGATGCGGTTTCTCCAAAATAATATCCCAAGTGATATGGTGGAGGAAGTAAGGATGGAATATAATATTTGACTTGGATCGTATAAAATGGATAATGAATGATTTTAAGATATAAATGTAACTGCTCTCTGTGGCTAAGACTTCCCTGGTAACTAGCTATTGTAGCTACTGTAACTCTGTTTCTGCTGCTTTCTGAACAATGCATGTCCCAACCCAGCTGAGCCCTCACCACCCTTTGTTCTATTCCCCAGCCGCCCACCAGCAAAACCTTGGAGGGAAATTTGAACTTAAGGTGTGAATTTCCTGAAACCATCATTGACTAAAACCACCAACTAACCTCCCCCTTTTCCCTGCAGTAGCCAAAAATGCTTAAAGGCCAACATGTACTGGTGCTCTGGGCCATTTCCTGGGATTCCCGACTTCAGTCCTGCCACGTCAGTACTTTTCGTTCAATAAAATCTTTTACATTTTCACTGCAGACTAAGTGGTCTCACTGCACCTCCCCACTGCACCAAGATCCTAAGAAAGATGTCTAGAAACAAAGGCAGCCAGAGCTCCTCTCCACAACACCAGAACTGGTTCTCAATATACTTTAGCCACTAATCATCCTCACTATCATGACTTTTGAATTATATGAGTTTTCAATTAAATAAAGCCTTGGTAAAATGTGTCTCCTGTCAAATCCAACTCTTTTTGTATTTCCTTACCTTTACATTTAGCCTCAAGGCAAGGTAAAAAGTAAAATTTACATTAGACCTACCCAAGATGTTTCTCTAAGCTGAGAACTTTGCAGTAAATTGCATTTTCCCAACCAAGGCAGAATATTTTACTTTTGCTTCTTTGCTACTGGAAAGAAGAAAAATTAAATCTGTGCAAAGGTGCATAACATAAAATTAAAGGCACATTTAGCTGATTGTGGTGGCACACAACTGTAATAATCCCAGCTAACTTGCCACAGTGAGGCAGTAGGATTGTAAATTGAAGTCAGACTGAGCTACATAGCAAGACTTTACAAAAAGGAAGGAAAGGAGGAAAGAAGGGAATAAAGGGAAGGGAAAGGGAGGGAAGAAGGGAAAGAACGAAGGAGGGAAGGAGCAACATAATTTATGTTTACCTTGTACCTAGAAAATATTACTTTTTGGATCAATTTCCATTTCCTGGGTTTAGTCAGAGTTGGAACCTTTGTTTTTCTGGGCAGGGTTGTGGATTGTAATGCAAATATGAGGGGTATGGAGAGGGCCTGGAGGAGAAACGAGTCAAGGGCTGGACCAAAGAGAATGAAAACCAAGAAAGCTGTATTTAGTGAGAGGTATAAACGCCACTCTTTGAGTTACAGATGCTTAGCTCCAGGAGAGCTAGGAGAGCTCTGCTTTAGAGAATATTCAGATGCCATGCTGTTTAGCCCCAGTGAAGTTTTGCTCCAGAGAATGCTTGTGACTGTTTCCTATCCTAAGCATGTGGTTTTTGTCTTTAAAATCTTGGTACAAGTTACATTCTGGGCTGCAGGTCTTTAAGACAGGAGTCTACCTGTAGTCACTGGCTTTCTAATAAAGACTCCCAGGTTGACCTCTCAAGATGTGGCTTCTCTGTTTTTCGTGAATGAATTCCCATATAACACAAGGATCAATGGAACTTTTTCCTTTTCTCACTGTGACACCTTATCATTATTCAGGGTGCTTCTCAGTGATTTAACTCTTTATGAACATAGAGATGTGCATGCTTGGTCTTGGCTGCAAACAGAGCTAGCCTGGGGCTATAATATTTCTTTTCAGCTCTGTAAGGAATCCTGCTGGCCCACCTGCACCTGGGAAATGAGGGGGAAACCATAGGGCTCTGAGCAGACACTTCAGAAAAGGCTTCTTAGCCTCTGGAATGGGGACAGTCATGTGTAGCATCCTGGTGAAGAGGTAGAGAGCCATGAGACTTGTCCTTACCCCTTATAAAGGTCACCGCCAACACCTATGTAACAAAAGACAGATAAATAAGAGAAAGCATAACAGATAGTCTTCAGAAATGAAGACCCTAAGAGGGGCAGTGGGAGACACTTTTTTATTCTTATGTTGCATGGGGAATGGGTAAGTGTGCAGAAATGGGGTTGGACAAAAGGGTCAGAAATAGACTGAGGGAAAACTTAGCAAGGCCTTGTTGTTCAGATCCTTCCAGGCCCTAGAGGCAACATTGCATGCTGGAAGAGGGGGAAACTTCCTTCAGAACTACTACTATGACCTATTACTATCAGATGAAGTAGGTCACAGGATTTATTTTTTGGTTTTTCTTTTTTTTTTGGTGTTTGTGGGGCTTGAACTCAGGACCTGAGTGCTGTCCCTGAGCTTTTTACTCAAGGCTAGGGCTCTACACTTTGAGCCACAGTGCCATTTCCGGTTTTCTGGTGTTTATTGGACATAAAAGTCTTAGGGACTTTCCTGCTTGGGCTGGCTTCGAACTATGATTCTCAGATTTCAGTCTCCTGAATAGCTAGGATTATAGGGGTGAGCCACCTGCACCTGACCACCGGATTTCTTTATGATCAGCTCATACACAGAAAGGCAGGGAAGATGAGAGTCAGCTTTCATAGCCAACGTTGAGGGAACAGAAGTTCTAATTTCCTTGGCCTACCTTGTAGGGAAGGAGAGGAAGAGAAAGTGAGGTAGATAATGCTTTTGGTTTCCTTCAGTTCAAAGTACTCAGTATGCCAAAGTAACAAACTCTGAAGTATCATTTTCGGAGGAGCCATTAGTAGGAGAAAAGAGAAGCATCTGGAAAGCTCACTTCTCTCCACACAGATGCCATCTTTGGAGAAAATGTGCCTTAATGACCAGGCTCCTCCCATATTTCCCAACCCCCTCCTTCTCCATCTTCCTTATACCACTGAGCCTGTGTCATTACCCAGCACCACCTCTTTGAAACCATCTCTTCTGCTAGCTAAGAGACCACTAGTTTAAAAACAGTAATGAACTAGCAATAGGTGGCATTTTGTATCTGTTTAGTTGTGACTGCCAATGTATTAAAACACTTCAAATGCATTACCTTGTTGGGTCTCCATAATAACTTAAATACCTACTATCAAAAGGCAAAGTTACAGCTCACACCTGTAATCCTAGCCACTCAGGAGGCTGAGATCTGAGGATCACAGTTCTAATCCAAGCCAGACAAAGAAAGTCTATGACACTCTTATCTCTAATTAACCACCAAAAAGCCACAAATAGAGCTTTTGCTCAACTGGTTTTCTGGTAGTTAATTGGAGGTAAGACTCTCACAGACTTTCCTGCCTTGGCTGGCTTAGAATCATGATCTTCATATATCAGCCTTCTGAATAGCTAGCATTACAGGTGTGAGCCACTAGAACCTGGATTACTGTACTTTTAAAGGTCTTTTTATTTTTATTTTTAAAATTTTCTGGCAGTGTGGGGGTTTGCACTCAGGCCTCATACTTCCTAAGTAGGCGCTCTTACCATTCTTTGAACCTTGATTTTTGCTGGTTATTTTTCAGGTAGGTTCTTACTTCCTCTTCAGGTGTAGGCCTGGGTCCTGGGATTCCTAGGAGGGAAGGAATTGAGAAAAGGCTTGCCAGGGGGTTGGCCTTCAACTTCAGTCCCAATAATCTCAACCTCCCAAGTAGCCAGGATTACAGGCCCATGCCACCAGCACTCAGCTTGTACTTTGGATCTTAAATGTTCCTAAAGGCCATGTATTAAAGGCTGGTTCTCCAGCCTATGGAGCTACTGGATATAAGAGACTCTTTAAGAAGTAGGACTCTCTCTCTCTCTCTCTCTCTCTCTATATATATATATATATATATACATATATATATATATATATATATATGGTAGATATATGGACGCAACAGAGGGAAGCCAGGAGGAGGAACAGAATAAGTGGGAACATCCCACGCTAAGCAAAAGGAAAGAAATGTAAACATCACCTGATGTGCAAAAAAAAACTTGTAATGTCAAAGCTCATAGAATTCACAAACTGTATAGACCATGGTAATGACAATTTGCCTTGTGAAAGTTAAAATGTGTTCATAACTATAACTAAATATCACTATTCCACAATACTGTGAATTATGTGAAATTTATGTAATCACCTAATCTCAATTAAAGAAAAAAAAGTGAGAGAAGGGATGGGTTAAGAGAGATGGGTGACAATGTTGTCAGACACTTTGTACTCATATACCGTTTTGTAGAATGGGAACTTCTTTGTACAACTACTTAAAGATTAAAAGAAAAGAAGAAGTAGGGCTATGGGTCTGTGGATAGAGCTCAGTGGTATAACATTTGCCTAGAAGTAGGGCTTGGTGGTAATCTTCCAGTATTTAGTGGTAGGAATTTGAGGGGTATTGTGGGACCATGGTCTTTCTTCCTTCTCTCTTTTCCTTGCCAGCCACAGGAAAGCAGTTTTCCTCTACAGCATCCCTGCCATGATGCTGCCTTGCCACAGGCCCAAAGTCAACAAAGCCAACAGATCCTTCCGAGCAAAGTGAATCCTGTTCTCTCTATTCATCTCAGATATGAAGGATAAATGCTGACCGAAAACACCCACCCCAGTGATGTACAGAAAAAAGAGTTTATTGCCAGCCAAGGCTGACAGCCCTCCATCCCATCCTTCCCTGCCAGGAGAGGGAGAAATGGTGCTTGTCTGTTTCCCAGGGGCAACCTTACCGGATGTCAGGACTTGAGGTGGGAGGTTCTCCGTGTGCACAGCTGGTCACTGAAGACAGTGCTTAGGGTGGGAGCTCCTGTGAGAGTTCTCTTTTCTTTGTGAAGGGGCAGGGTGGAGTTCAGGTCTGGGTTGAAGGCATTCTGCTGATGCAGCTAGGGGCTAGAGATACCTGCTGAGGGCCTCTCAAGCCCCAAATGGAAGAGGACATACTAACACTGACTGTCATAGGCCTTTATCAGAGCCAAGCCAAAGCCAGCACCGTGAACTTGAACCTCCAGAACTGTGAGCCAAATAACCCTCTTTATACACCCACTTCAGCTATTTCTTTATAGCAATGGATTGGGGCAGCCTCCATTCTATAAGAAAGTTAAAGCTCATGAGGGGCAACAGCAGAGAGTATGTTTTGTAAGGTAAAGATAAAGACAGGTAACCAGATAATGGGGCATGGAGAGGGAGGAGGAAGAGGATTGACTAATGTCTGATTACTACAGGTTATTTTATTTGATTATTTATTGAGTAATTTAGTTTGTATCAGTACTGGGGCTTAAACTCAGAGTGTTGTCCCTGGGCTCTATCACTTGACTCACATCTCTACTTCAGGCTTTTTGGTGGCTAACTAGAGGTAAGAGTCTCATGGATGTTTCTGCACCGGCTGGATTTGAACCATGATTCTCAGATCTCAGCCTCCTGAGTAGCTAGGATTGCAGGCATGAGCCACCAGTGCCTGGTTTATTTATTCATTTAGTTAATTGGTTAGTTAGTTAAACAGTAGATACTTCTTTATTAAGCTGCCTTAGGTAAATCGGGATCT